CCCCCATCCCCGCCGCACAAACACCCTGGGAAACACCCGAACGCTTCCCCAGCTCCAAGGAGGGAGGCAGCGAGAATTCTGTTCCTATTTTTCAAAGCAAAAAAGCAGCTGATGCCCGTGTGCGCGTCCTTCAGGCCGGCTCTGACAGGTCTGTCAGGTGAGAAAGTCTCCTCCGAACCCGCTGAGCCGGGACCTTCTGAAGCCACATTTCATACACACACTTTCCCGTCTAATATTAGGAAAGTACGTACTTAGGCTGCCTATTGGTAAGAAATTATAATGATTTTGATGTATTAATCAGCGTTTTGATGGTCTAAATAACAACATTCTGACTTGTGCTTTAGTTCCACAGCGGATGGATCAGGGCTGGCCTTGGGTCATTCGAATGGGCCGATGTTAGTCATGGTTTCAACACGGGGAATAAAGTCCAGCGAGAAAAAAAAATAAAAATCTGTCTCCTGGACCTTAAATAGAAGAAGTGCTCTTGTCAACACGTGTGCGGGGAGCGGGGCTGTGGGGGCCCCCCGCGAAGGGAGAAGGATGCGCAGGAACTGGGGGGGGGGGGCTCCGAAGGCAAAGGTGGATGGACACAAACAGTTGTTGAACTTCTTCAAAGTCTCTTTCAACCCTTTTCCTCCCCAAAATAGATCTTCAGCCAGTAATAAAAATAAAATGTCCTATTTTTGCTGTTCTTTTCAGTATTTCATAGACGAACTACTGCATTTAAAACAACTATTGAAGGGCTGCTGCATTCCATAGGAAACAACCTTTCTTCTGTGGGTTTTGTTTTTTTTTTCTTGCTGTTGTCATTATGTTTCTGTTTCCTTGTTCAGTTACAATTACCAGGAAGTGATTTTTGAGTTTAACAAATAGACAAGCACTAAAACATTTAGAAGCGATCTTCTCTTTATCTGATTTCTGTCACTTCATAGATGACTCAAACCTGTGTTTCCCAGCATCTCTCTGAGGATAATTGTAAGCAACGTATCTCTCTGATCTCGTGGTTATCCGCAGATCGTAATAATCTGATTTCAAAACTTCTTGGGAATTACACCTTTATTAAGGTTATACGCTGCCAGGGGAGATCCAATTCCTGCGTGCACCAAATAGAATTAGAGAGGCTGAGGAGAGGAGATTAATTTGCGAGACCTTTGACTTTCTTCTGTGCGGTTTTAAGAGGCCCCAGGTTTGCCCACGTACAGCTGCATAATCCTGATGAAGGAGGTTTTGTGTCGCAACCTGACACCCCGGGACCGGACTGATTTACACACTCCAGGCGGGTGCAGCCGGATATTTGCCTTTTCTCGCTGTGCTGCTCTTGCCGTGCTGCCGTGATGGAGAGCCGGAGCAGCGCTGGTGCTCTGGCAGAGGAACCCAAGCAGTGATTTTAAGCCATAAAGTTGAAGCATTCGTATGTTCTGCGAACCCGGGCGCAGCCCATTTTACTGTTTTTCATTCCTCTAATTTTTTGCCGGAGAGGCTGGAAGCTCTGACGCTGTCAGCAGAAGAGGCTTGCTCAGCTCCTCTCTCCCCTCAGCCACGGAGGACTTGGAGGAGGAGGAGGAGGAGGAAGAGGAGGAGGAGGCAGGAGAAACAGGCCCCCAGGTTTCTGGGGAACACGTTGCTCGCCCCGCCGGGACGGCTCATCCCGGGGTGCCTGAGCGGGGCTGGAGCCGGCAGCTGCTCCCGGGCCTTTGCAGAGGAGTTGGCGCTTGTTTTCCCTCGAATCATCACATCGAGCGCGATGACTCACGCCCAACTGCTAGAGCTCGCTGCTGACCAAGTGTCTAAAGCTTCATTTTTAATGAGGAGCTACCAACGGCTTCTCCCCCGGCCTGGGGGGGGTGTGGGTGTCCCGGGCAGGGGGGCTCTGCTCATCCCCTTGGCAGCAGCACCCACAGAGCAGGCGTCGGGCGCCCCACGACACCCTTCCCTGGCAGCAGCAGGGATGGGAGTGGGCTCATGAGTTGTGGGATTTCTGCTGCGATGGGAGAAAGTCCTTGTCCGAGGGGGGGGGTTGGAACCCGCTGCCAGACGCCGGGGAACGTTTCTCCACGCGTGGCCGGGGGGGTGTTGGCAGAGGGGCCATGCCCAGCCCAGACACCTCAATGCCTCGTCCCACAGCACCTCTCCCTCCACTGAGCCCCCACCGGGATTCACCCCAGAGCAGTGGGGATGCCCCCCCCCCCACCTGGAAGACCCCAGACCCCAAACACTCTAAGAAACCTTAACGCTGAGGATGCTGAACCCCCTTTTTTTCCCCCCGCTGGGCACCACGATGCCCTCCCCTGGCAGCAGCAGGTGAGTGGAGTTGTGGGATTTCTACTGCCGATGGGAGAAAGGCCCCGTCCGAGGGGGCGGCCGGGGGGGGGTTGGAACCCTCTGCCAGACCCCGGGGAACGTTTCCCCACGCGTGGCCGGGGGGGGTTGGCAGAGGCGCCGTGCCCAGCCCAGGCACCTCCTCTCCCTCCTCCGAGCCCCAAAGCCCCGGCGATCGCCCCCCGCCCCGAGGAAAACCCCAGACTCAAACACTCTAAAACCCCTTAGCGCTGAGGATGCTGAACCCCCTTTCCCCCCCCCTCCCCTGGCAGCAGCCTCATCCCAAGGCAGCGCGGGTGTCCGTGTCCCCCCCGCGC